TCTGGAAAGTGGTCACTGTGTAAGCATAACACTGAGTTTGGGTCACATAAACAAGGCATGGCAGGGCACACATCTAATCCTAACATTGGAGAGGTAGGAACAATCCTGCTTTCTGGCTGAATTTGCTGAGAGCACCTGTCTCAAAAAGCCTGATCCTAAAGTATAGGAGTTGTGTTGTCAGCCCTAAAATTTATGAATATGAGTAACATTAACACTTGATTTAGAAAAGGAATGGTGTATGATAAAATTACTAGATTCCTTACTTCTATATAAAAACGTTATGAACGGTTTTTGCTTCTCATCTGGTTTCTTCAGGCAAAATGACATTAGAAGTCCTGCTATCCAACCAAGCCTGGCACACTTCAATCCCAGTAATCTGTGATGGCAGGCTACATAATATACCATTTAGGAGTGGGGAGCCTGAAGGAGGCCAGAGTAGTGCCTAAGTGTGAAGAAAGCCCTAGGACATTGATTTGTTACGAAATTGGTTTACATTCTAAACTAAAGAGCAAGCATCTGAGATCAGATGAGACAAATGTAAAGTAGGCTGTGTATAAGCAGAGGGAGAACACCATTAGCTAGCTGCCAGAGGCCCAAGATTTTGATGATCCAGAATAAGGAACTGTCTATTTTGGTTATTTGAATACTGATTCATTGGTCTGGCTCTGAGTAGTGAACCCTCTCAAGCTTCAGTTATCTCATCTTTAAGATTCAGCACTGCTGAGCGTGATGGTGCTTTGTAATTTCAGCTGCTAGAGACAGGCAGCAGTATTCATTGGAGCCATCCTGGGGCCAGCGAAAAGTTTGTGTGAAACTGAGGAGTTAGACACTTCTTACTCTGGTAGAGATGCTGAATTCGTTTCCAAATTTTTGCGCCCTCTTCTGAACTTCATAGGCACCAATCATGCATATGGCATGCATGCAAGCAAAGCACCATACACAGGTCTATAATAACCTTTTTTGATTTTTTAGAGACAGTTTCTCTGTGCAACAGCCCTAGCCCACTCGGGCCTCAAACTCAAAAGAGAGCCGCCTGCCTCTACCTCCCAAGTGTTGGGACTAAAGGCATGCGCCACCACTGAGTAACTAGATAGAGTTATATTTCATACTGTCTTAAGGCTGTGATAGTTATATAAGAGAAATGTAGTGAGGGCTCAAGCTAGTCAGGACAGGGAGGTGGTACGTGGTTGTGCAGAGTAGATAGATCTGAGTTTAAGGCCAGCGAGGGCTACATAGAATGTGTCTACAGGGGCTGGAGAGATGGCTCAGTGGTTAAGAGTACTGACTACTCTTCCAGAGGACCCGGGTTCAATTCCCAGCACCTACATGGCAGCTCACAACTGTCTGAAGATCCAGTTTCAGGGGGTCTGACACCTTCACACCAATGCATATAAAATAAAGTTAAATAAACCATAAAAATAATAAAAAAAGAATGTGTCTACAAAAAAAAAAGGTTTATACTGATGACAACTGGTTGGTGCCTTTCATAGGAAAATGTGCTGACATTTGTAAAGTGTCCCAAACAATCCTGCTGAACTAAGGAATGAATTCTCTAGGTAGGATGTAGTGGCATACACCTTTAATCTGGGAGGCAAAAGCAGGTGAATCTGAGTTTAGGGCCAGACTAGTCTACACAGCAAGTTCTAAAATAGCCAGGGCTATACAGAAACCCGGTCTCAAAGAATTCAGTATCTTTAATTGCGCCTCAGTCCTATTGCTCTTTCCATATCGGGACCATTCCATGGTTCTCGAGCCACCTAGGCTTGCCTTCAAATAATGTACCACTCTGTCCCCTAAAGGTAGTAAATTTCAGCCAGTGGTTGTCATGAAAACATGCAGTCACTCCCCTCTCCCAGTGTAGTCCTAGGCTTTTCTTTGCATTTTTAAGCTTTACAGGTCAGATAGGCAGGAAAGATGAATGGAAGGTGAATCTGGACGATAAATGACCTCATGTACCAGTGGAGTATTATTGTCATGAGCATTATCTTCAAAAAGAGTTGTGGCTTACCTGTCTTCAATCCTTTTGCTTTGCCTATGATCTTAACTCATCTTACAGTAAAGATGTCCTGGATCCTGATAAAGTCAGTAGGGCTTGAAAGTCCCAGTCGACTTGAGACTCTCTAAGTCTCTCTCATGACCACCAGGAGCTGCTTTTCTTAACTTTATACATGTAAAACTGATAGTCTCCCTCAAATTTTCACTGACCATTAAGGCAATTAAATCTGCCACTTTCTTAAGTATCAACTAACTGCTCCTCATCAGTTTGTTAAAACTAGTATATAATATCGTGACAGCAAGTAAATGATTTAAAAATTTGTAGAGAGCTCAGGGGTTAAGAGCACTGCCTGCTCTTTCTGAGGTCCAGAGTTCAATTCCCAGTGACCACATGGTGGCTCACAATCATCTGTAATGATAACTCATGCACGCTTCTGGCATAGCAGGGATACATGCCAGCAGAATATTGTACATAAATCTTTTTTTATAAGATGTGGCTCACACCTTTAGTACCAACACTCAGGAGGCAGAGACAGGGGATTTCTGTGGAGGCCAGCCTGGTCCACATAATGCATTCCAGTACAGCAAGGGCTACATAATAGACCCCGTCTCAAAAAAAGAAAAAGACAGGTGGTTTTGGGGGCATGCCTTTAATCCCATTACTAGGGGTACAGAGGCAGTTAGGTCTAAAAAGTGACTTCTAGGATAGCCAAGATTACACAGAGAAACTCTGCCTCGAAAAACCAATAAATGAATTAATGAAGGAAGAAAGAAATGGAAAGGAAGTGTGTCTTTGTGTGTGAGTGCCTGTAGAGACCAGAAGAGGGCATTAGCTTCCCTAGAGCTGGAGTCCAGGGAGTTATGGGCGACCTGACATGAGTTTAATTTGGTAAATAAAAGCAGCAAACCCACTCTTTTTATTATTATGTACACAATATTCTGTCTGTGTGTATGTCTGCAGGCCAGAAGAGGGCACCAGACCTCATTACAGATCGTTGTGAGCCACCATGTGGTTCTGGGGATTGAACTCGGGACCTTTGGAATGCTCTTAACCACTGAGCCTTCTCTCTAACCCCTAAACAGAATATTGGAGAGTAAGTGTAAGAGGCGGCTGTTATTGATGGGACCTCTGCACCTGAAATACCTTTAACACATGTGCAGTTAAATTTCATTAAAAGCAACAGAAGCACAGTGATGACACATGCCTTTAATCCAAGTATTCCGGGGGGGGGGGGGGCAAAGAGCAGGTGGGTCTCTATGGGTTTGAGACCAGCCTGGCCTACAAAGCTAGTTCCTGGACAGCTAGGGCTGTTCACACAGAGAAACCCTTTCTTGAAAAAAGAAAAAAAAACCAAAATGTGAATATAGGTGATAAAACTGAAAGGACCATGTACCGGTGAGGGAGAAGAGTTGTTAAAGAAGGAAAAGGGTTACTGGGCAAAGAAGGGTACAGGAGGAAGCAGGAATTGGGGAGAAGCCAAAAGGGGGAGTCAAGAAAATTTATATTAAGATTTCTGGGTGTGAATACCACATGTGTGCAGGTGCCCTGAGAGACCAGAAGTGGACAATAGATCCTTTCGAACTGGAGTTATAGGCATTTCTGAGCCACATGATTTGGGTGCTGGGATTTGAACTCAGGTACTCTACAAGAGCAACAGTACTCTTGACCACTGAGCCATCTTCTTAGCCCCCAGGGGAAAAATTATATTTGAAAGTACTCTAATAAAGCTTAATATATTTTATGCTAATTTAAAATTTTAAATTAGCCGAACCATGATAAATACTAAAAATTAGAATCTATTCCGAATATCAGCTAAAGCTTTACACATACTGACTCATCTAACCCTCATACCTGTGAGACAGGTTTTCTTCAGATAGAGAGACTTGAGTCACGGACAGGTTGTATGACTTGCCTGAGATGATCAGAGCCTCTCCTAGTGCCCACGTTATACTGTCTTTTGAAAAACAATCCTGCTGCTTAAAACAATAGCAAATATTCACACAAAAGCTAACCTTTTGCATTAATGACCATTCACACCCCATCAAAAAGTGAAGGGCCAACAAGGTGGCTGTGGGGAAGGCACTTGTAGTCAAAGCTGAGGACGAGAGCTTGGTTCCTAAAACTCAGAACTGACAACTCTTGTCATCCAGTGACGTCCACACGTATCCTTCTTGGTACGGGTATCCCCTCGCAAATAAATATATGTGAAATTTAAAACACATTGATCATAGCATTCTTTATGATAAAAAGAACATGAAAATATAATGTGGATCACAGGTGAGGAGCAGTTAAGCAGAATGTCACCCTCTAATTCTCTGATTTTTATATTTGCTCTATAGACTAGGAATGGTAATAGAATTCACAGCATTCCTATTCAGGTTTAATTGGCTGGGTGTGGTGATGAATAAGGTAATCTTGGATACTTAGGAAGATTGCAAGGTTCAGACCAGCGTGAGAAATTTAGCAAGACTAAGACTCAAAAAAAAAAAATCTTGGGCATGGTGGCACCTGTCTTTAATTCCATCAGTAGGGAGGTAAAAAAAAAACAAAACAAAAACAAAAAAAAACGGGAGGATCAGAAGTTCAAGGACATACTCAGTTGAAGGCCAGCCTGGACTACTTCTTGTTTCTGTGGTTGGTTGGTTGTTATTTTTCTTTTTTGGCAGCAGGGTTTCTCTGTGTAGCCCTGACTGTCCTAAAACTTGCTCTGTACACCAGGCTGGCCCTGAAATTCACCTGCCTCTGCCTCCTGAGTACTGGGATTAAAGGCTTGAGCCTACACCAACCAACCTAAAATAATGCCAATCTTTTGTTCTCTTGTTTTTTGGTTTTTCGAGACAAGGTATCCTTGTAGCTTTGGAGTATGTACTGGAATTCCTTTGGAGTACGTCCTGGAATTTGCTCTGTAGTGTAGACCAGGCTGGCCTTGGACTCAGATAGCCAGCCAGCCCCCCCTCCCCGCCCCGCAGTCTCTGCCTCCCGAGTGCTGGGGCTAAAGGCGTGCACTGCCATCACCGCCTGGCTCAGCCTGGGTCCTATCCCCCATGCTGTAAAAATACTAGGTTAATACATGTAAACTACTTACATTGTCCGGCACTTTGTCCAAGAAATATCTTTAGTATTGTTAAAGCTGTATTTTAGCAGTTATATTACAGAAGATATTTTACAACACTGATACAGTGACAAAGGAGATATTGTCAATAGGATTCACCCATTTTTTAATTTCTTTGTTTTTAATTGAGCTACCCCTTTTTTCTGGATTTACCCATTTTTATTCCTCACTTAGGCAACCTTATGATGGCTAGGGTTTTTTTGTTTGTTTTGTCTTCTTGACACAAGTCATTTGAAAAGAGGGAATGAGAAAATGCTTCCATCAGATTGACCTATAGGGCATTTTCTTGATTAGTGATTGATTTGGGCAGTGTTACCTATGGTCTAGTGGGCCTGGGTTGTATAAAGAATCAGGCTACAAGCCTTGAGGAGCAAGCCATCCTTCATGATCTCTGCCTCAGTTCCTGGCTTGACTTTTCAGCCCTGACTTCCCATAGTGATGGATTGTGACCTGGGAATTTTAAAGTGAAATAAACATTTTCCTATCCCAAGCTGCTTTTGGTCAGTGTTTTAACACAGCGATAGAAAACCAAACTAAGACAGGTGATTGTATTCTAAAAGTCAGTTGTGAAAATTGGGTCAGCTGCTGTTAAAAGTACAGTAAGAAACTGTATTATACCTAGAGTTTCTCGGTTTGCTTTTAAAAAATCTGTTATGTGTATGTCACAGTACACCTGTGGACGTCAGAAGACAACTCCAGGGACTGGGTTCTCTCCTTCCACCTTTACATGGGATCTAGTGAAAGGCTTGTGCAACAAGTGAGCCATCTCCACCCTGCTTGCTTGCTTTTTGATACAGGCTCTCACTACATAACCCTGCGTGGCCTGGAATTGAGTTTGTAGGCCAGGCTGGATTCACACTCATGATCCTCCTGCTACACTCCCCCCACTTCATCCTCTTTATAGGATTATGCTAGACCCCGAGATGAATATTTGCGATACAGATTCTAGTTTAAAGTGAATTACAGAGAAGTGGGATAGTTCCCTTGGGTCAAACCCCCCAAGGCTTGTTCTTCCTGATTGCATCTTGTTACTTTAAACCCTCAAGTCTCAAAGTTTCCTAGGGGAGACCATTCCAAGTCCAGTTACTCCCAGTGAACGCACGCGCGCACACACACACACGGATTCTTCTCATCACATCGATGTCCAGGATTCATCACTGTTCTAAGAACTAGTAAATACTCTAGGAGTCAGTCCCTGCATGTATGGTCAGGTTCTACATATACTTTATTCAAGTTTTGCGTGGCCAAATTTGTGCTGCTGAGAAGCAGCCTAAACCACTTTCACGAGAAAGTCATTATTTCTGATTTTTAGCAAGTGTTTGACATAACATACTCACCCTGTTCCTCTGACCCAAGTACTTTATCCCTGTGTATACAAAAGGTGTCAGGGGGGGAAATGACTAGAACTCAAGGGGTGGAGCCTCTATCCTTTTACGGGAAACTACAATCCTTTAATGCGCCTGCGAGGCTCCCACGCCCTGGGAAAGGTTCCTATCGATTTGCTCTGTGCTCCGCAGCTCTTTCTGGCTGCAGGCAGCCATCTTGCCTGGAGCTTGAGACAGGGAACAGAGAAGGAACTGGTGACACCGGGCTCAGGGCCGCCCCGGGGGCCTCGAGAGCCAGGGGCAGCCCCGGAGGTGGTCCTGGGTCCTGGGCTATGCTCTAGGGTCACAGAAGGGAGGGCAGAGGACAGAGGGCTTGATGGGTGGAGAATGTCAAACAAGACTTGCTAGGTGGGGGAGGGGCGTTGCTGAGGCAACTGGAGAGGGCGGGGTCATGTCTGAATTGCTGCTGTGAGTCACCGGAGTGCTGCCCAGGAAAGGCAGGGCTGGGGTGATGACCATGCTAAAGACCCAGTGGGATTTCGCGACATCACCTGTGTGGAGGGACTTCGTGTCTATGGCAACTGTCACCTGGTGGAAGGGGCGGAACTAGATTTCCTCTGCCTGCTACGCCGGCATTCCAAGCCCTTGTCCTGCAGGCTACCGCAGGCAGACGCATCATAGAAGGAAGCCAGGGAATGGCCGCGGTGTGGCAGCAAGTCTTAGCAGTGGACGCGAGGTGAGGCGTGGGGTTGGAGCCCATGGGAGCGGAACCTACTGTGGTGCATGAGCAATGGCGATCAGTGAGGCTGGGCGGAGAACTTGGCTGGTGCGGCTGCGTGAGCATGCGCAGTTAGCTTGGTGTCTTATATTCCCGCGGTGAAGTGGCCCGGCCAGAGAAGGTTCTAAAGAGCATGCTGGGAAAATGCTGTTAGATATGGGCATGCGCAAAGAGACTTCGCGTGGGTAGTGGAAGTCAGACTGGTGACTTCCTATCTAGCTCTTATTGCCTGTCCTCTTCCCCAACTTTTCTTGATACCACTACCCTACTATTATTTCCCAATTGCTACCCCATACTACCTGACCCTAACCTCCATTGCTGTACATTGCCAATCTGACGTTTGTCATCATGCTAGACTGATAATATAGTTGGCTCCGACTGACCCCAGCAGAGCTGCAGATTGACTATATTATCTCCAGATTGACCTTTTCATCATACCTGTTATTAATCAGAATCACCCCCATCACAGTACGATCACTCTTACCATCCCAGTCACTGCCAAACACCTCATTGCACTACCCTATGCCTCGAGCTGATTTATTCCCTCTGTCCTGTGCCTGCTGCCTGCCCTGCCTCCTGGACCCTACAGGTACAACGCCTACCGCACACCAACGTTCCCACAGTTTCGGACCCAGTATATCCGCCGGCGCAGCCAGCTGCTGAGGGAGAATGCCAAGGCTGGGCACCCCCCAGCACTGCGTCGGCAGTACCTGAGGCTACGGGGCCAGCTATTGGGCCAGCGCTACGGGCCACTCTCTGAGCCAGGCAGTGCTCGTGCCTATAGCAACAGCATTATCCGCAGCAGCCGCACTACCCTTGACCGAATGGAGGTGAGCTCCTGGCTGCACCACCTGCCACATATCTCCTCGACGTCCATAGTTACCACGGCCTTTTGTCAAACACGGTGATGTACAAAAGTATTATTCCATTGTCAGTAGAGGACTAAAAGATAATATAGCAACTAAATCAATAGACATAAGGAGGCTGGAGAGATGGCTCAGAGGTTAAGAGCTCTGGCTGCTCTTCCAGAGGTCCTGAGTTCAATTCCCAGCAACCACATGGTGGCTCACAACCATCTGTAATGAGATCTGGTGCCCTCTTCTGGCCTGCAGGCATGTATGTTGTATGCAAAATAAGTAAATAAAACTTAAAGAATTTTTAAAAAATAAAAAATAAACATGATAAACAGGTAGTGAATTAGAAAAACATGGAGCTAGTCAGATTAATGAGTTGATAATTACCATGGTATAGTAGGGAATACTATGATAATAACATAAAATGGACTTAGGAGACACAAAGGAGTGAGAGTTTGGTGCAGGGGTGTAGTTCAGTGATAGAGGGCTTGTCTAGTATGCCTGAGGCTGATGGTTCTATCCCCAACACAGCAAAGAAGAATGTGAAAAGTCACGGGCTGGAGAGATGACTCAGAGGTTAAGAGCACTGACTGCTCTTCCAGAGGTCCTGAGTTCAATTTCCAGCAACCACATGGTGGCTCACAACCATCTGTAATGAGATCTGGTGCCTTTTTCTGGCCTGCAAGTATATATGCAAGCAGAACACTGTATATGTAATAAATAAATAGTCACTAATTTGAGCTAAAGTAGGAAGCTATGTTTAATAGGGAATACTCCTCTGAGGAGGTAACAGTGAAACCTGACTGAAGTGAGAGACTGATTCAAGTGGTTTCCTGGGGAAAATAGTTATTCTTTCTGAGGAAAACATGTCTGTACTAAGGATGTGTTGAGCAGGGCAAGGACAGAAACAGGTGCTCATGAAGAAACTTCTGAAGCAAGTGAGCAATGATAGTGGTGGCAGGTGCCATGTGTGGTGAGACGGGATCAGGTCTGGTCATATTTTGAAGGCTCCAGACATCAGTGGTTCTCAGAGACTAATTTCTCTTCTTTTTGAGACAGGATCTCACCATGTAGCCCAGACTGGCCTCAGATTCACCATGTAGCCAAGGCAGGCCTTGAGCTCAGTGATCTTTCTGCGTCAGTTTCCCAAGCACCAAAATTAAAGGTATGCACCATCCCTGATCCTGTCTTGATTGCAGGACTTTGAAGATGACCCTCGAGCCCTAGGGGCCCGAGGACACCGCCGATCTGTCAGCCGAGGCTCCTACCAGCTGCAGGCACAAATGAACCGTGCAGTCTATGAGGACAGGTACATACCAGAGGCAGGCAGAGGGTGGAGGTTCCTGAGGAAGAGAGGGGCCCTGGGATATGGCAGTCTAAACACCCACACCTACCTCCTATCGCCCCCTACTTCCTGTTGGGGCTCAGGCCTCCCGGCAGTGTGGTACCCACATCGGTGGCAGAGGCAAGTCGGGCCATGGCCGGGGACACATCGTTGAGTGAAAACTATGCCTTTGCAGGCATGTACCATGTTTTTGACCAGCACGTGGATGAGGCAGGTAAGCTAATGGGTGGTGGGACCAAACCAAACATTTATTCAAACAGCTACCCATGGCACCTGGCACCACACCTCAGAAGGAGAAATTACCACTCGTAAAACCATTAGCAAATGCAAAAGCCCTCTGCAAAGTGCTCTGCAAAGTTGTCATTTTAGGTACTGCAAAGAGAGCCACAGAAACTCAAGAGAGCCCTCTTTAGCAGACTGCCTGAGCTCATGAGTCACTTGGAAGAGTTCAAAGCCTTTGCTGATAACTTCCTTGCAGAGGACATAGTGGACTAAACTGTGAAGGGATTTCAAACCCCTGAGAGCTTGATTATTGTAAAGTACTCAGTAATGCAGTGTGAGCTTTTTTGCATTGTTCAAAGTGCCATTAAGATTTAGAGAGCATGTTGGCAGTAAGCGTTCTAAGGTTTATAGCTGCCTTTGTGAGCCAAGGAAAGCCCTTTGTGGAGGGTACCATTTCTTGTGCTCAGTGAGTATGTTGACTCCCTCAAATGGCTCCTTGGCATTTGCAGTCCCAAGGGTGCGCTTCGCCAATGATGACCGACACCGCTTGGCCTGCTGTTCACTGGACGGCAGCATTTCACTGTGCCAGCTGGTGCCTGCCCCACCCACTGTGCTCCATGTGCTACGGGGCCACACGCGTGGTGTCTCTGACTTCGCCTGGTCCCTCTCCAATGACATCCTCGTGTCCACCTCCCTCGATGCCACCATGCGCATCTGGGCCTCCGAGGACGGCCGCTGCATCCGTGAGATCCCTGACCCTGATGGCGCTGAACTGCTGTGCTGCACCTTCCAGCCCGTCAACAACAACCTCACTGTGGTCAGGCTCCAGGACACCTGCTCACCAAGGGCGGGCATGCTGGGTCTGGAGGGCTGTTTGGGGGCACCAGACTATAAGGTTTAATACCCCCAAGTCCTATCACAGCAGTTCTGTGGTCAGAACTCAAAGGGAAACAGACCAACAAAAAGCATAGTTCATGGTCAGGGAAGGCCTTGCTGTAGACTTCTGGGCTAGGTGGGGGGTCACGGCCCTGGGATTCCTAGGGTCTCGTCACCACAGTCTTACAGTTTTCTGTCTAGAGAAGCTGCTGCTAGGGAGCAGGATGATGGGGCTGAACGCTCATCTAATCTATTAGGGGCAGCCCTACTGTGGTCAGACTCCAGGACAGACTAGGCAGAGGAAGGACATGGAAAGTCTGGCATGGCCTGGGGGTAAGGAGTTGAGATATAGGGTAACAACAGGCTATGAGTGAGCTAGTGCTAGGGGTTCTCTGGCTCATTTCAATGGTAGCAGCTTATGGGCTTCAAGAGGGGCAGGCCAGGGTGCGAGGAAAAGATGGAAGGGTATTAGAAGCCCAAATTTTCAGACTGGCCAAGGGGCAGCATTTTGGCTCTGAGACTACCTTCATCTCATGAGCAACTGGCCTATTGTGGGCATATTGAGGGGTTAGCTAGGAAGTAGGAGTTAGGCCTGGATCACTTTCCAGTGTACCTGCCACAGTCCCACTGTCTTAAACTCAAGGAAGGACTAGATGGGTCAGAATGATTGTGTTTGTATTCCACTCACAGGTGGGGAATGCCAAGCACAATGTGCATGTCATGAACATCTCCACAGGCAAGAAAGTGAAAGGTGGCTCCAGCAAACTGACAGGCCGTGTCCTTGCCCTGTCCTTTGATGCCCCTGGCCGGCTTCTCTGGGCAGGTGATGACCGTGGTAGTGTCTTCTCCTTTCTCTTTGACATGGCCACAGGTAGGCAGCCCACAGACCTATGTTTTGGTATCCTTTTTTGTATTCTCCCCGGACTCGGTCCTTGTCCTCACCTTTGCCTCCACTGGTTCAGGGAAGCTGACCAAAGCCAAGCGACTAGTAGTGCATGAGGGCAGCCCTGTCACCAGCATCTCTGCCCGATCCTGGGTCAGTCGGGAAGCGCGGGACCCCTCACTGCTCATCAATGCCTGCCTCAACAAACTGCTGCTCTACAGGTGGGTTCCTCCTGCACCGGGGCCATCTGGGCCTGCAGGGCCCATGCTTCCATCGGAGTGGAGGAGCAAGGCCAATCTTCAGCACATTCATTTCACCAAGGCTAGAGGTCTGACCTCATAATATGATGAGAATAGAGGTGGGGATGTAGGTTAGTGGCAGAGTACTTGTCTAGCAAGTGCTTAGCCCTGGGTTCCATCCCCAGAAACAGACACACACACATAATACATAGTATGGTGATACATGGCCTACAATGTATGTAGTGTACAACATAATAATATCAATAACAACATAAATAGGAATAACAGTAACAAGCCCCTACATGAACATTGCTATGGCCAGACCCTGTTCAAGGTATTCCATACATATCACTGTATTTAATCCTCTCAACAGCCTGGGAAGTAGTTACCGTTATTATCTCTATTGTATAGTTAAGCAAACTAAGACAAAATACATAAAGGACTGAGAAAGTAACTCAGTGGTAGAGCATTTGCCTAGCATGTATGAGACTGTGGATTCCACTCCCGATACTATAATTAAAGAAAAAATACTAGCTCTTTGTTTTGAATTTTTTCACATTTATTTATTTGTGTGTGTATGTGAGTGCTAACATATCATGGAGCATACATGGAGGTCAGAGGACAGCATGTGAAAGTCTATTCTGTCCTTCCATGCAGCTTTCAGGAATCAAACTCAGGTTGTCAGACCTGGCAGCAAATGTCTTTACCCACTCCGGTTCCCTTTCTTTTTCTTCATTTGGTGCTGGGAATTGAATCCAGAACTTTGTACATGCTAATAAAACTCTACTACTGAGATTCACCCACAATCTATATTATTTTGTTATTTTGATTTAGGAACAGAATTCATTCTTCCCACCCATCTTTCAAAAATGATGCTTTTTAAAGCAGGACATAAACTCATGCCCTGCTAGGCGTGGTGGTGCACACCTTTAATCCCAGCACTCTGGAGGCAGAGGCTGGCGGATCTCTGTGAGTTTGAGGTCAGCCTGGTCTATAGAGTGAATTCCAGGACAGGCTCCAAAGCTACAGAGAAACCCTGTCTCGAAAAACCAAAACAAACAAACAAAACAAAACAAAAATTCCAAGGGACTGGGAGACGGCTCAGCAGCATTATAAGATGTTGATCTTATAGATGACTGAGGTTCAGTTTTCAGCATTCACATAGCAGCTCACAACTGTCTGTAATTCCAGTTCCAGGGGATCCAGCACCTTCTTCTGGTCTCCTCCGGTACTATACATTCACAGTGCACAGACATACATGCAGGCTGAACACCCATATACATGAAATGAAAATAAATAAAATGAAAAAAATGCTAGATGATATATACCTATGGTGTCAACAGTCTAAGGGCTGAAGCAGTAGGATCACTTGAATACCCAAGTTCAGACTCGGCTTGTCCAACATAGTAAGACTCTATCTCCAAATGAAAAAATAATTCATGAACATTGTAAATATCTCAGATACAGGATTCAGAACATAAACTGCCCACCTAGTCATCGCCTGAGGCTTAGGCTGTGCCCTGACCCTTTCTTTTGCTTTCTCTTCAGAGTGGTAGACAATGAAGGTACCCTGCAATTGAAGAGAAGCTTCCCCATTGAGCAGAGCTCACATCCCGTGCGCAGTATCTTCTGCCCCCTCATGTCCTTCCGCCAGGGGGCCTGTGTGGGTGAGTGCTCAGGAGCAGGGGACCTGGGTAACTGGGAAGAAGCAGAGACCAGTGTAGCTGCCAGCCTGGCTCCATCATCATGACACCCTGATGCCATGACTTCCTGGGTCTTGTGCCCTCACAGCTCATACCTAAACACTTTAGACATGGAGCCACAGACAGCTTGGGAACTTCATAGCTGAGACACAGACCCCACACTTCCTAAAACCTCACACACTACCCACAGAAGCAAAGGAGGCAGATGAACTCCCATTTGGGGATGGTTCCTTTTAGACTACCCGAAGCTACATGAGGCCCTCACACCTCTTAGACCCTCAAGGCCCTCCTACTGGGGACACCACAGTAGCCTTCTGATGCTCTTTCCCTCTCATCTGGACAGTGACAGGCAGTGAGGATATGTGCGTTCACTTCTTTGATGTGGAGCGGGCGGCCAAAGCTGCTGTCAACAAGCTGCAAGGCCACAGTGCGCCTGTGCTTGACGTCAGCTTCAACTGCGATGAGAGTCTGCTGGCTTCCAGTGACGCCAATGGCATGGTCATCGTCTGGAGACGAGAGCAAAAGTAGGGTTCGGCCAGCCCTGCACAGCCCGCTGTTCCCTCCTCTCCAGTCTTGTGTTGTAAATAAAATTTCTGTGGTTGTGTTGAGGGGCAACTCCCAGATCTCCCATAAGGAGGCACTAGGGAGTACTGAGCCCTCCAGTGGAATGGGGATGGCTTCCTCAGTTGTGCAGTAATGTGTTCATCCGTTCACCAAGCCCTGAGTATCTGCTGTGATGTATCACGTAGTTGTGCAGTCAGTAGACAGGAATGAGAGTACCAACTGTGATGTCAGGAACTGTTCTAAAAAGGAAGGATACTGTTGTGGCCTCAACCAGAAATCCTGCCTTTGTGGGCTTGCATCCTAGGAGAGGCAAGCATACGGTAGACAAAGTACAGCCATTCCTTGGAGTATAATTTGCTTTATAATTTTTCAACTTTTTGATCTTACAGTGCTACAGAACCACACACATACACCCAGTCTTTTTTTCTACTTTCAGTATGGTGTTCAGTAAATTACATGAGCTAGTCAACATTTTGTTATAAATTAGACTTTACATTAGGTAAGTTTGCCTACCTGCAGAATAATGTCAGTGTTCTGAGCACATTGAAGGTAGGTGGGGCTAAGCTAGGGTGTTTGGTAGGTTAGGCATGTTAATGCATTTTCAATTAAGACAGATTGGTTGGGGTATACCCGTCTCATCGAGAAGCATTTGTATATAAGAGGATGGTTAAAGATGAGTGACGTGAAGAGAAACAAAGGGAAGGAAGGAGATGAGGTTGCAGGAACGGGAGGGGTGGGAGCTTCTTTCAGCAATGTCATCAGGAAAAATGTTCCTGACAGGATGATGTTTTAAAGATCTGAATGAAATGAGGGAAGTCATAGTGGGGTAAAAGAATACCCTCAACAGAAAGAAAAGGTAGTGCAGAGGCACCGAGACTGGAGTGTGTCAGAGGATGACCAAGCCGAGTGTGACAGATGACATTAGACAGGGCTTTAGGGCTTCTTGGGCCATGGTGAGGAGCTTGACTTTTCCTGATCCTGAGTGAGGGAGGTTGGAGTGTGGAATCAGACAGCCATAGAGAAATTAGGAGAGGAATGTTGAGTTCAACCCCAGGGGCTTCATCAGATTAGGTTGTAAAACTTCCCAAGATGACAGCTTCTGTGTGGGTTGGCATTGGGTTGTGCATTGAGTTGTGGCCCACAAATAGGGAGTAGAAGTGTTGAGTTCTTTGAGTTCTAGGTTGGCACGCAGGCACCCCTGCTGTGGTGAAGAAGAAATAGAAAATCTGTAAGTTCACCCCTATTTCCTCCCATATCCATCCAGGGCCCCAATTTAAGCCCTGGACCAGGTCAGAGACCAAATGCTAATCTCTAATATTGGGTATTAGCAAGGAAATAAGTTCCAGACTTATTGTCCATGACTAGAATCATGAAGAGCTTTCAGTTTTAAGAATCATCAGGGGCTCTTAGAGCTAGCACATCCTCCCAGATTCATATGCTGCTACTTTTGTATCAGGTGGAACTGCGGCTAACATCTTGGGACCTCAGAATCACCAACCTAGTAGCAGTGTTGCTGAGCTGTGGAACTAGCAGCAGCTCTTTGATGGAAGAAGATAAGTCCTTGTTTGTTTAATCTGTTTATTAGTGTGATCACTTGTAGCCAAAAGCATGTCTGGCTCCATCAGGCAGATCTTAGGCAAATGGTTATGAGATAAGGATATCTAAGTGAGCTGGACTGGCCATGTTGTGTCAAAGTCATGTAAGTGTGCCAACATTCCTAATCCAGCTTCGGGGTCAGTGATTTCCTTTGAGGACTGTACAATACAGCTGAAAGATACAGGGAAGTGTACCAGACACCAATTAAATGATGATCTTTAAAGAGACCCTCCTAAGACTAGTACTTCAGAACTGTGTTAACTCTTTCCTGTACCAGGCAGATACACGGCTTCAACCAAGCTCTATAGGTAGCAAGATAATCGGGGGAAATACCAGTTTTCTTTAACTTTCTTTTCTTCATGTTCTCCATTTTCTTTAATGAGTCTGGTTTCAGGGTGATTAATGATGAATTTTGTTTGCATGATTTTGGGGGTTTCCTCCTTGTAAAATTTTTGAGGTGGCAGAGTTGACATTCCACTTTAAAGTCCTCTTGGTGACACTTTTGACTCACAACCTAAAGGAAACTAAGCACTGAGTGAACAAGGAAGAATAAAATAATGTTATTGGTCAAACTTGGGCCTCTCTTATTTGTCCGTCACCACTGTGCCTCTGGTTTGATATCACGATTCTCTTCATCATTCCTTCATCAATGCTGCTTTACTTTCTTTTCAGACCTAGTCCTGCTCTACACCCTTTGTCTGATTTTCACCCTGGGTGTTTGTCAACTGCTACATTAGCAAGCGCAACTCGGAGCTAAGCCTGGAACTGAGCATTTCTTTAATTATTACCCCACTGATGTGTACCACTAGTCAAATCTGAAACCTGAGCTACCACCAATTGTCTACTGATCTGACTTTGAACTTGAATATGGACTTCTGTTAATTTTTTGCTCTGATTATTATCAATCTTAGCCATATATCTGGAACTCTATTATTGTACCATCAGTTCCCTTAATGTTATTCATTCCAACCTCTATACTGACAGTAAATGACCATGTGATCCAGTCTTAAGCCCAGGCCTCTGTCAACTATTCTGCCATTACTGTGTCTTTGATCTGGCCTCGGATCTGGGCATTTGTTTAGTGTTTAGTTTTGTTTCTAGGGAAGGACCCCAGACCTGCATTTTTAGCAAAAGTTATACCACTGAAGCATACACCTGTTCTTGGGCATTCCTTACTATTTCCTTCACCGATTTCTATCTACTGTGGCCTCAAACTCGAACACTGTTTTGAGATAGTCTCTGTGTAGCCCAGATTAACCTCTAACTAATGACTATCTTCTTGCTTCAGCCTCCCAAGTGCTGGATTACAGGCATGCACCACCAGGCCTAGTCAGATACTTTAGATTATTTCTTGTTTCAATTTAAAATAGTTTTTATTTTATGTGTATGGTTGTTTTGCCTGTATGTATGTATGTATGTGTGCCATTAATATCTGGTATCCACAGAGGCCAGAAGGTAGTGTTAGATCTCCTGGAACTGGAGTTACAGACACATTTCTAGGCCACTGTGTTGATACTGGGAACCAAACCTGGGTCCTCTGAAAGAGCAGCTGGTGTTCATAGTGCTCTTGTGTCTGTTAACTATTCCGTGACCTTTTCTCCTTGGTTCTAATCCTGAACTCCTCCAAACTGTTTCACCATTAATGCCCTTTTCGTATTAAGTATTGAAATTCTGGATGAATATTCTTTGGCTCAATCTTCAATCTAAGTCTCTGGTTAATACCCCACCACCCCTGACCCTCTGCTCCAGCTGGGCCTTTGTGAATTCTAGCACTATGAAGATATCTGTGGTCTGACCTTGAATCAGACTCCACACAAAAGTCCTTTGGAGGCTGGAAAGACTGCTCAGAGGTTAAAAGCCCTTGCTGCTCTTCCAGAGGACCCAAGTTTGGTTCCCAGCACCCACATCAGTTGGCTCATAACCACCTGTAACTCCTCTGTCTCCAGTGGACAGTCAGAAGTCTGTCCTTCTGACTTCTGCAGACATGGCATACACATATATAGACATACACACATTTACAAAAGTATAATCTTTTTGTTTTATTTTGGTTTGGTTTTGGCTTTCTGAGACAGGGTTTCTCTATGTAGCCTGGTTGTCCTGGAACTTACTTTGTAGACCAGGCTGGCCTCAAACTCAGAGATCCGCCTGCTTCTGCCTCCCAAGTGCTGGGTCTAAAGTCATGCACCACCAGTTCCCAGCTCATAAAATCTTTTAAAGAAGTATTTTAAAATTTTTGTTTATGTTTTTCATTTTTATTTTATGTATATGAATGTTTTGTCTGTACATGGGTGGACTGGTGCCTATGGAGGTCGCAAGAGAGCATCAGAGTCGCTGCAACAACAGTTACAGATGATTGTGAACCACTGTGTGGGTTCTGGGACTCAAACCTGGGTCCTTTGCAAGAGCAAAGGTCTTGTTAACTAACTATACAGCTACTGCTCCTCTGACATAGCCTTGAACTCAGGCTTTCATTAAATAATCCAGTTTAATGTGGGGGACGGGGTTGTCTCTGCAGACACCAGGGTTGACAGAGTATTGGTTCTTGTGAGGCAAGAAGAAAATCCAGGGCTGGAGAGATGGCTCAGTGGTTAAGAAAGAGCGCTGGCTGCTCTTCCAGAGGGCCTAGGTTCAAGTCTCAGCACCTACGTGCCTGTAACTCCAGTTCCAAGTTTTCTGACCCCCTCCTCTGACCCACATGGGCACTGCACATGCACATGGTGCACAGACACATGCAGAAAAACACCCATAACTGCTGAGCTGTCTCTCCAGCCCCTTATGGTGGTTCTTCTGCCTTCACATTTTGAGTGCTGGGATTGCAAGTGTGAACCACCATGCTTGGTATATTGTTCTTAATTCTCACACCAATGCCCCTACACAGCCTGTAAATAAGATCAAAAAATTAAAAACAAATGTAAAACTCACATTTGACCTTGAAATCTAGGCCATTATAGCATCAATATTCCCAGTCTGTTCTCAAACGAGGGTTCTCTCTCTCTCTCTCTCTCTCTCTCTCTCTCTCTCTCTCTCTCTCTGTGTGTGTGTGTGTGTGTTTTTGTTTTTGTTTTTTGTTTTGTTTTTCGAGACAAGGTTTCTCTGTAGCTTTGGAGCCTGTCCTAGAACTTGCTCTGTAAACCAGGCTGGCCTCGAACTCACAGAGATCCGTCCGTCTACCTCTGCCTCCCAAGTGCTGGGATTAAAAGTGTGTGCCACTGGCCTGACGAGGGCTCTCTTTTAAAGTCTTTTCACCATCAATGTCATTTTGGTTCCTTCCTATTCAGAGTCTTTCTTGCTCTTTCTTCTGATTCTTAGCCAAGATTTGTTACGCAAAGAGCTGGTCTAGTAAACTAACACAGCCATTTAATTATTCTAAAATCCTTCCACTCCAGGCTTGTACTTAAACCAGCTCTGGTTTGGACTTCTTGTTAAACTTATGCAGTTATTTTTCTTTCTTTTTTCAGACTGGCTTTGAATTTGTTCTTTTTTAAAAAACTTATTTATTATGTATATAGTGTTCTGCCAGAAGAGGGCACCAGATCTCATAACAGGTGGCTGTGAGCATGAGGTTGCTGGGAATTGAACTCAGGACCTCTGGAAGATCAGCCAATGCTCTTAACTGCTGAGCTATCTCTCCAGCCCCTTATGATGGCTCTTCTGCCTTCACATTTTGAGTGCTGGGATTGCAATGGTATGTTGTTCTTAATTCTCACACCAATGCCCCTACATAGTCTGAATTCAAAGTCCAAACTGTTTTCCTACTCTGGAATCTACTGCCCTCTTGATTAACCTTATTTACATCCAAATGTTTATTGAGTTATCTCCACCCCTTCTTCTGTGGTCTGGTCCCAAGCCATGGTCCCTGCTAACTACTGTTCCATGATTAGCTCCTTAGTTTCAATGTAAAGGTGTACTAACTAGTCCAGCATCAGCACCTGCATCTCATCTAGCTATCCAAACAGAACAATTGTTAACTAATTAAAAATCCTGCCCCTTCTGGGCATGGTGATACATGTATTCAGTCCTAGCACTTAGGAAGTAGAGGCAAGCAGATCTCTATGAGTTCAAGGTCAGTCTGGTCACCCAACCTCAAATTGGAGCCTTTTATTCCATTATCACTGTCTCTCTTGTCCCATAGGTTTTTCCTTCTATTTATTCTCCCTGCCTGCCAGCCTTGCCTATCCTTTCTCCTGCCTAGCTATTGGCCGTTCAGCTCTTATTAAACCATCAGGTGTTTTAGGCAGGCAAAGAATCACAGCTTCACAGAATTATATAAATGCAATACAAAAGAATGCAATATATCCTTGCATCATTAAACATGTTCCACAGCATAAACAAATGTAACACTTCTTAAAACGATATTCCATAACGGGGTAATTTTTTTTTTTCTTTTGGCTCACTGAGATCCACCTGCCTTTGCCTCCCAAATGCTTGGGATTAAAGGTTGTGACACCATCACTCCACCAATTGTTTTTTTATTTCTGAAACAGGATCTCTCTTATACCACAGGCTGAGCTGGTATAGCCAAGCATGACCTTGAACTTCTGATTCTCCTTCCACTACCTCCCAAGTGCTGGGATTGCTAGCATGTGCCCCCACATTCATCTTTATGCAGTGCTAGGAATGGAACCCAGGGCATTTATGTGTGCCAGGCAAGCACTCTACTAATGGAAGCCATATCCCCAACTGGCTCTCACTATGCATAGCCCAGGTTGGCCTCCTCTTTATTGTAGAGCACAAATCCTGGCATATGTTAACTAATCTTACTTTCTGAGTTTTATTATGCGAAGATTTCAAACCTGAGCTTATGGCAAATATCCCAAATGTTAGTAACTTTCTGATAGGAATTCAAATTTAGAGATGAAACTACAGAAGGTGGCAAATTAAAAGTTACTTTTTGGTCAAGCACATACCTTTAATTCCAGCACTTGAGAGGCAAAGGCAAGCGGATCTCTGAGTTTGAAGCCAGCCTGGTCTACATAGTGAGTTTCAGGCCACCTAGGAGACCTTGTCTCAAAAAAAATCTTTAAAAAAATGTTTTGGGCTGGAGAGATGACTTAGCAGTTAAGAGCACTGGCTGCTCTTCTGGAGGACCTGGGTTTAATTTTCAGCACATGACAGCTCACAACAGTTTGTGACTCCAGTTCCAGGAATCTGGCACCCATCCATACACATAAATGCAGGCAAAACACCAATGCACAGAAAAACAAATAATGTTTAAAAATTGTTTAAGTTGCTTCCCTGTGATGCAGTGAGCATATGGAATCAGAATGGTGAAAAGCAGACTCTATCCCAGACTATACATGCCGTGGCAGTCATAAAGCAAGACTGTGGAAAGGGCTGGGCAGCACACAACCCCAGTCGTAGCTCCTGCTACTGGAAGGGGAAACAAGTCTAAGCCAAGAGATAGGCTAGGTGGGTTCCAGTGAAAAGAAGCCTGGTAGTCCTAGCCATGAGCCCACACCCTTCAAAGCCTCCAGTCAGAGTATTTGGTGATGTAGTGGTTCCTACTGCATGACATGATGGTCAGCATTTGAGAAGATGTCCATTCTATCTTTGTCATAACCCAAAGGGCCAT